TAGTCGGCTTATCGACTCAGGAATGTTAGCTCTATGCGCTCATAGCGGCAAAACGCGGTACTACAAAAGCTCTGCCCACCAAAAAAAAATAGTTCCGTTTCTTTTGGGTACCCCATCGTATTATCCTGATATATTCCTGGACGGGGTTGAGGAAAACAACGGAAAATCTCAGTCAGGATGTTCCATATCCGGTCGAGTTTCCTACAACATACCTCGCGATTACGTGTTAGAAATCTTACCTTTTGAAGTAATTAGGTTTGTCAAATCTCTCTTGCATTGAGAACAAACTCAGAACTTATACTAACTTGTCGATAACACAATACACGTAATATTTCAGCTTCAAAGAAAAAACTTATGAATTTCACCTACAACATCCGGTTCACATTTATGTGCAACATTTCTGTGATCGTGTATGGCGTAGATTAGTTGAGTATCACACAAGCCTTTTCCTCCTCAGGACCAGGTTCCAATTGTCCATACAAAAACCGCTGTGATATTTCTAAATTCTGATCCCGGCTGCGGAAAACCTGCAAAGGCTTTCCAATTAAGAGAAAAACTACAATTAACAGTTTTCACGATGTCGCCAGCACTTAATTGATTGCGTAATCTCTTGCTTAGTTATCAGCAGAATTAAAACTCTCAAATCTTTCTAATTAATGTAAAAACATCAACCCTTTCATTAGGGATACTGTGAGCAGGTCGAATTCATTTGCCTCTCTACCCACCTTCAGGTGACTCTAGAAGGATTTATGGCACATTTCTTGAACACTAGTCATTATCTGAGGCCGTGCTGTGCACAGGCCATTCGAGGAAGCGACTTTAATTCCGTCACGCCCTGCAAAATGAAAACAACAGCATGTACATTCTTGTGGTTGCTAATGGGGTCGGGCTCTGGCTTCTCTGAATATTGATATGGTGGCCTCTGTCAGTGCTGTGATATGAAGACAGAGTTGGCGCAGCTTTCGAAACATCTGGCACACAAAATATACCTGAGTAAAACTATACCCAGCTAAATTATGATCGCTTATTTCTTGGTTCCTTTAGCAAACCTGTGCCGAATGCATGGTTCTTACAGAGCCGAACGAACTGTAAGCTATTGCGAGTTGTCTTCTGGGTTACAACGCGGTGTATTCCATTGAAATTCAACCACCATTCCAGAGGAATATGTAGCTCCCATCTTCAGGGTTAAAGAGGAAGCCAAGCAAGAAACCACCATGAAGCAGACAGCGAGTAAAGCTTTGCTTTACTCTTCAACTCTGAAGACGGAGGTGACATAATATCAGGGTGACGGAGGCCAACATATTTCCCGAAAGGTCGCTAAACATATACCTGACTACACGGCGTGACATCCCAGCAGACTACGTGGCCGAGTCTGTGGAAGGAAATGGTCGTGGTATTTTCTAATGCACCAAAATCAATTTTTAGGGCTCGATTTAAGGTCGAGATTGGAACTGAGGACGTTTAAGTAGCTACATTACTAATTTTAGTAAAATAGTAAGGCACTGATGTAAGGAAACGCTTCGTTCTTCTCTGGGTTCGTCTAGCAACGAAGCAATAACCACACAATCTATCTAGCATTCGATGACGGAGTAAGCTAACCGTAATAACGAAGAAAGGCACGGTCTGTAGAATGTCCTGAGGGCTGAGGGAAATCAGGGGAGTGCCAGATTTCTGGAGAGAGACTTGAACAGGTATCTACCGCGACGAGAGGGGATTGCTTGCTAGCCTCTATGTCGCTGCTATTGACGAACAAATTTGCCGCGCGGGCTAAGGCCTGAACCGTTTCCGCCCGCTCGAACACTGGGATCGTTGGTTCGAATCTCATACTAGGCATTTATTTATTATGTGTTTGTGTTGTTCTGTGTGTAGGTAGCGACCTTGTGACGCGCTGATCCCCCGTCCAAGGAGTCCTACCGTCTGTGTAAAGAGATTACGGAACTGAGGAAGAGGCCAGGGTCCAACAAAGGGCTACACAGCCACAGTGAGAGAGAGAAAAAAAAGGTTCTGGACTGAATGGTAGCAAGCATTACCAGGGTTCAATCTCCTCTTAATTCCCTCCTGAATCACGTTTTGATTTGTTATCGTCGTTCCAAAACTATCTGACTGTGCCACATTTTCATATCATCTGTTTCTATCGTTATGTCATGATTTTGCCCTGAATTTTGGTGACGAGACATCAACATATAAGTATATGTTGCTGTGTTTACTTGTAGACCAACCTCCTTACTTGCATCAATTAAAGTTTGTGTCGTTTCCTTTATGGTATCTACATATATTATCACCCAGTAAATACACATCATCGGCATAGGCCAACAGCTGATGTGTCCCGTTTAATTTCAGTCCCACCTGATTTTCCTGGACGTTCCTATTGGCTTATTCTAAAGCAAATTTTTAAAATAGTGGCGATAAAGCATCTCCTTGTCTTTGACCATTCTGGATAGGAAATTTATCAGACAAATATTTACCTGTGTAAAATTTGAGGTTTTCACGGCGGTGACTATGAAGAAAGCCGTCTCCTGGGATGTAGCACCGTGTAGAAATTTCTACACGGCGCCACATCCCAGAAGACGGCTTTCTTCAAATGTTTACCTATACGGACGTCAATATAAGTTTCGTTTAAAAACATTTTAATCGGCTTAACTAGTTTCATGGGTATACCAAACTCTATCAGAATATTGTAAAATACTTCACTCCTAACTGGATCATAAGCTTTCTTGAAGTCTATGAATAGCTGATGTACTGTCTCATCGCACTCCAATTTTTTCTCCAATATCTGACGAATGCAAAAGATCTGATCTGTAGTTGATCTGTTACGTTGAAACCCACACTACTCCTCAATAATTTCATCTATGTATGTGCTTAACCTTCAGAGAAGAATATTGGATAAAATTTTGTATGAAGTTGGTAGCAGTGATATCCCCCGATAATTACTACGGTCAGTTTTATCACCCTTCTTGTGAACGGGTACAATAATAGAATTCATCAACTGATCAGAAAATTTTTCCTTATGCCAAATAGAAGTAATTAGGTTGTGGATCTTAGACCGTAATATTTCGCCTCCTACTTGAACAAATTCTACCAGAATTTGATCACTACCTGGCGATTTATACCGTTTCAATTTTGCAATATCAATTTCAACCTCAAAAGGGCTCGGATCATGTATTAACGGCTCCGCTGTATGGATTCTGTCTGCCTAACATCACCGACCCTATGTACATTCAATAACTGAGAGAAGTAGTTCTTCCACTTATTCAAAATGTCGTGGGAATCTGCAAGCAGATCACCATTCTCATCCTTCATTAAGTTACTGCTAGGTTGGTTAAAGTGATTTATTCCTCTATACAGGTCTCTAATGTTCTTCTTCTTACTGTTCACTGCAAGCTCATCAATTTTGTCTTTCAGATAATCCTTTTTATTCCTGAAATGTCTGCTGGTTTCACGTCTTATAGTGTTCAGATTATCCCTCTTTATTTTGTATGGATCCTGTAACCATTGCAATTTGGTTTGTTTTCCTTGGTCTAATAATTCTGAGCATCCTTCATTGAACCATGGCTTACGTTTCTTCAGTTCATAATCCTAGTCTCTCCTTGGTAGAAATTTTGATATTCTCTCTAATAGTTTCCCAAGCTTTATTAATATCCACCTCAGTTTCCAAGTTTTACAAGTTCACGAACCTATTTGCGATGTCAACACGATACTGCTCTTCGTCCTCTACCTCAGTTTATTTCTAGAGATTAAACCTCTCCATATTAACGCTTTGCGTTGTTAGTTTGCTCACTGCCAGTCTTTCCTTAATCTTTGCCACCACCAGGTGTGGTCAGTATCACAATCTGCTGTCCTGAATGATCGGACATCAAGTATACTTGAGTGCCGTCTCTTGTCTATCCATTGCTTGAGGTGGAATGAAAGTAGAACCGGGATGCCATCCCGCCGCATCCCGCCCCGCCTCAAGCCCTGGGTATTGTACATTGCATTTACTGCCAAAGAAGTAACGGGATGCTTTTAAGCCATTTAGAATAGAACCGGGATGCCATCCCGCAGCATCCCGCCCCACCTCAAGCCCTGTGCCTATCAAAATATGATTAATAGGATTGCGTATTTTCTCTTCAGGAGATGTCCAAGTACATTTATGAATGTTACGATGTGGGAACATTTTACTTTTAACCGTAAAATTTTTCGATGTGCCAAATTTTATTACTCTAACTCCATTATCATTACTAATTCCAAGCAAAATCTCATTCCCAATCGTTGGTTTGAAAATGTCTTCCCTCCCTACTTTGGCATTGAAATCTCCTAGCAAAATTTTCATATGGTACTTCGGGAAATTATAAGTTACATGTTCTAGTTCTTCAGGGAACCTCTCTTTTATGTCATCAATTTTACCTACTGTTGGGGCGTGAACATTCATAACAATGATATCACACCAGCGACCTCTTAGTATTATGTATGACATCCTATAACTATCGAACTCTACCCTCTTAACTGCTGATACCATTCTCTTAAGTACGGAGAAACCTGTACCAACTTCATTATTTTCATTCCCCTCTCCATATAAAAAATGTATATTCGCCTGCTGGTGCGATGCCGCCTCCATTCCATCTGACCTCCTCTACTCCTCTTAAATCTGACTTATATTTTAAGATTTCTTCTGTCACTGCCCTGAGCGAACCTGCCCTATACAAAGTTCTGACGTTCCCAGTACCGAATCTCATAACCATTTTCTTTAGCTTGGAGCAATGCACAAAGACTAGCTGAAGCCTGCATAACAAATATCTGGATTTCATAAATAGTCTAGAAATATATAAATATATCAGCTAAACTATATATATATATATATAAGGCTATACAACAATAAACTTAATGATTTACAATTCTGCATTTAATTTTCTGATCACCTTATAGAGCGTGCTACCTCTCCTCCCACACCCTTTTCCTTCCTCAGCTTCCCCCACCCCGCCCGGCCGCGTGTCATGATCTCAAGGCAGTTTCTGGCCAGCATCCTCACCTGTTCAGTGAGACACCGACTGCGCGATAGGCCGTCTTGGACGGTCCACGGTCAACTGCTTAAACTGACAGTTTTAAGACGGCAGCACTGTGGCTGTTATTTGAATTAAAGATTGGATAAAAATTAGTGTTTGTGATTAATTCTTAATGTGGTTATATCATTAAGTGCAGACTGATTGTACTTCGTGAGGTAATGCTGTTGGGAGAGAAGTGAAGGAGAGCGTGCGCGGAACGAGAACAAACGATACCCTCTTGTCGGTCTGGATGTGCTTCCCACTTGAGGTAAGAACGAAATCCTTTTACTGCAGAGAAGGATGAGCGTCGTTGTGAGTTACAGATTTTTAAGGAATACGTCGGCTGGAAAAATGTGAAGTTTGCTGTCTTCTGAAACATGGCACTGTGTAGTTTGGCAGGTGCTCCGTACTCGCTTACCCTGGAGATGGAGCCAGCAAGTTACTCCGAACATCGGTAAACTTCTATCGGGTTACAGAGTGTTGTATCCCAGAAGCCAGTAAACCAAACATTAGCTGTAACAAAGAGTCTGTGATAACTGTATCAAGGTTTAAACTTACCGTGGATTGTGCTGGGTGTGGAAATTGTAAGAAATATCGAAATCGTGGAAGAGTTGTAGCCCCTCCGAAACAAAGAGTTTGCAGGATAGCGTATATGGACTACACAAGTCCCGTACGAGGCTTGCCATGGATGAGTGGTCTCAGATCACTGGCCCCTTCAACTACTGACATTCATTCATCTGTACGCTGGGAATATGACGTACGCTACGTGAGATTAAAATTGCATGATTTGAAGTTGAATTGCTAACCACACATTCTAGCAAGCAACGGATCTATGAAAATAAATATATTTATTTCCTCGCGGGGATTGGAAGCTTCATCCTCCATAAAGATGGGGGCATCAGGTTTTTGCGAAAAGTTTTTATACCCACGTACCAAAATACACGGCGTCACAGCCTAGAGGACGGTGATCTTCAACTCCTTAATGTGTAATAGGCCAATCTGTTAATGTTAGTACTCGCAACGTTTGTGGTAGCAATGAAATTACTCTTTAAAGGTTAGAGATAATGGTCGTTATTAATTATAGAATGATTTTGTTAGACATTGTCTGTTGTCTTAGTTATATGCAAAATTACACAACGTTTTGGAAGTTGGATATGCGACCGTCATCAGGTGTACAGAATGGGGAATGGATCCTGGTCAGTAGGGTCTGCTGGACAGCGCAAGTCTCGATCGTGGGCAGTGGAAAGCTTTCCAATTGAGTAAGAAGCCGCGACTTCTTGCGAAAAGGTAAATATCGGGCCCTAGGGCAATGCAGAAAAAGAGTATCATGGAGTTAGGGGTAAATTAGGTTTCGAGGTTCAGCTGAGTGATGCAAGCCCAAGTTACACATCAGACACGTGTTCGCGTAAACGTAAGAGAAAAATGAACTTGGATTTGATACCAGTGGCGTGCATAGAAAGTTCGGAGCACGCCACGGCAAACGTACAGAGCAATAGCAACATTGGTCCACAGAGCGAGAGGACAAGGGCAAGTAAAGCGAGATACCACAGCATAGGAAACACGAGTGGAAAGGTTTGATTTTAGGCTCTCACAGCGGTCTGCAGAGTTTCGTACGTAGTTCGCCAGAAGTCAGCCGGTGTTTCGGAGTAGTGTCGCCTCAATTTTCAGGGTTGAAGAGTAAGCCAATGAAAAGAAACATCAGCAATAGGAATCCTGCAAGTAGAGCTTGCTTCTTACTTTTGGCTACCCTTCCACTCTGAAGACGGAGGCAATACATACCGACGAAACATAGGTTGACTTACACCGAACTACATGGCGTTAGAACCAGCAGCTCGTATTTCACGAGTGGACTTACCGCAAGAATCATCCAGACGCTTTGCTTGTGATTCTGCATCAGTCACAATCTTTCATTCATTCACTGCCAATGAGGATGCTTTGTTTCACTTCCTTCAATATTTCCAGTGTACCTGTTACAAGGGACGTAAAACGGACCTGTGAACAAGTACAGATTGAGAACGTATCACAACCTCGCTCTCAACAAGAATTTTTGTCTTCATTTCACGACCCGAGAAACGAGTATTTTATTGGATCCTGAAAGCTTAATGAATACCAGTAGGGTCCAGGTAAAAGCAAAGTTGGTAAGAAGTGCAGCGTACGACCCTTCTTCCTACCGTCTCGGTCCAGCGGTTGTTCTTCCTGTATTGTCTTGGGTTCAAAACTCGAACGGGAATCGGCTAGACTGAGTTTCTGTCGTAGTTTCCCCATGCAAGTGTGGGGACGATACCTTAAAGTAGGCCATGAATCTATCCTTCCAATCACTTAAATTTATTATTCATAATCATCTAATCATTTTATGCTATTTGACGATGCATGCCAGCATTTAACAAACGCTGTAGGATCTCAGCTATTGAAAACGTTAAATAAACCAAAATTAAATACATCCAGTATCTTTGGAGCCTTTTGCATATAACGGTATTCGGGTTAGCTCAGTCAGTATAGTGATGGTCTAAGGGCTGGACGGTCGGTGTTCGATTCCCTACAGGGGCGAGAATTTTTTCTCTTCTCCACAGCTTCCAGGCCGGCTCTGGGGACCACCCAGCCTCAAATCCAGTGGGTATTGGGGGCTCTTTCCCCAGGGTTAAAGCGACTAGGGCGTGAAACTGCCCGGTCACATCAATCCGGTGCCGAGGTCAAGAATTGTAGAGCTATACCTCCACTCTCCCACACGTCTTCATTGCGTGGTGCTTAATTAATAAGCACAAGGACAACTTGACTTTATAAGTAAGATGTCATAAGGATAATTCCTATTTCATATCACATTTTTCTGCATAGTAGTAAAGATATTTCAGTATTTGTGAACCTAAAATAAGCATTTACGCCCTCAAATGAAATGTTACCGCAATTTATACTGTCCGCATGTCGACCAAAATTGTGTGACGTATAAGTTTTCGTGAGGGCTCGTACCATCAGAGAGGGGTACAGAACTACGCGCAAGCTGCAAGACTGACGGACATGGGAAAACTAATTCTGGAAATCTCCCGAACGCACCTGCCTGCAGAAGTGTGTTAACAGATGTGCTCGGCAACCGTGGGAAAGATGGTCTACGGAGAATGAAGACTGTTACGTCATTGTCACGCGAAGAGGAGTGGAGGATATATACACACTAAATCTTTGTGCAGAGCCTTGTCTCGCAGACGGATGCCTCTATCCTCCTGCGACCTAGTGAGGCTGCGGCTTGATTTTGCCACGTCCGTGTGAAATATTTACATTAAAATCTGACAGCCCCTATGGAAGAGTCCAGTTTCCATATAACGAGTGTTCCCAAACTGTGTTCCGCAAAACAGTTATGCGTCGTTCATTGCGCCCTTTATTGGCGAAGTCGACAGAAGCTCTAACGTGGTTCGTGTACATGAGTTCACATTTGCTTAAAATGTAATTAATTGTGCTGCTTCAAGCGTCACTTTCTTATAATGTAAACTTTGTCTCAATTTTAGTTTCATTTTTATGAGTTCGAAACGAATAGTTGCAATAACATGTGTGTTTGCCTTGCCATGCCTACCAGTCAGTCCGTCAGCATGTAACAAATTTAGAACCGCTTAACGAATTTTCATTAAATTTAATCCTGAAGCATCATGTGAGTGTCCGTATATTACAATGTTGCTTAAAACCGGACACTTCACATGTAAAACTTATGTGCATTTCAGCGCACGTCTCGAGCGCAGGTCGTCATGTTTGTAATGTGTGCTTGTCAGAGCGAAAAGTGTTCCAGCAAACGTAACAGATAACAAATATTATGTCAGTACACTTATTCTTCCGGATGTCTGGCGTCAAGCAGTAATTTTCTGAAGCGTCCTTTTTCACTTTCGTGAAGTGCCAGTTTGCCTTCATTGCGGAATGTGACCAGTGTATCCCATTCATTGTTAGCCCCGGTGTACCTTTCATATAACTAAATCTCGTTAATTTATATCCCATGTCTGTTCAATTTTTCTTTATTTATATTCTGTTACATGCAGCCAGTATCAGTGTTGCCACCCGTCTGTATTACTTGACTCACTCAATAACCTCATGGAGCTGAGGTCTTTTTGAGAAGCCGCCAGTTGCTCAGCTACTCAAGAATTTTCCTTCATTTTATGAAACTTGAAAGTTCATTATTGTGTTGACAAGAGCCCTCCGCTGGTCCCTATCCTCAACGAGATCAATCCAGACCGTATCAGCCAATTCTGTTTCTCCAAGATCCGTTTTTGTATTATCCTCCCACCTACGTCTAGGTCTTCTTTGTAGTGTCATTCCTACTGGCTTTCCAACCAAAATTGTATGCATTTCACTTCTCCCCCCCGCGTGCTACATTTCCTAACCATCCCACCCCCCTGACTTGATCACTCTAATTATATTTGGCTAACAGTACAAGTTACGAACCTCCTCATTATGCAGTCTTCACCAGCCTCCTATTACCTCCTCTCTTTTCGGTTCAAATGTGAGTTGATTCACTTCAAAAAACATCTCCTCCCAGTGCCCATTTGGCAGGAAAAATAGTGTTTTTTTTCTATGTTGGTACCATACGGAGAATTTGTCTGTCTAGTGATTACTTCTGTTCTGCGAGTTCTTTGGTGCAAGGAGTGGAGCTTTTAATATTTTAATGCTTTGGCTTAGCTTATATACCCTATCTGGTGTCGGTACACGTGCCCGAAGATAGAGACTAGCTCCATCGACTGGGCCAACTGAGTACGTTTTACCAGAAGACGGAGACAGAATCCAGTCTCTGGAACGTTGTGTTTTGAAACGAAGACAGGACGATGGATAATGTTCAGAAACACAATATTTGTGTTGTATTAGGTGTTCTTAGTGACAAAGTCAGTAGGCGCAGTTTTGCAAGTTTTCGTTGCGAATGCTCCAGAAAATGGAGGAAGAGAATTGGAGCGTCAAAATGATTTTATATTATAAATCAAAGGCAGTGGGGAATACAGAGTCGCAGAGAATCTCGTACATTCGGAAAAGAGTCAACTTCTCCATTTCTGTAAATGCTGAATTGTAAGTGGATGAAAGTTTCTGCAGTGTCGTGTCACCCTAACCCGGTTCCGAAATATCACGTTCGAATTCTAGCATCAGCACGTCATACACAAACAGAAACAGACAGTACCCAGTTCAGATGACGTCACGTTTAGGTGACTTGGGCCCGCTCATCTTTCCAAGGATGGGTGTTTACGTTGAGCTTATTGGTGGGTTTCCAAGAAGGCGTAAGTTGGGCATGTCGCGGTCGCTTAATCCAAT